GTGAGGTTTCACTGCTAGAGATAAAGATAAGATGCTCTGGGCCTCAAGTCGCAGCCTCAGTGGCTTCAAGTACCATCACCCAGACGACTCCTACTGCTGCTCTTCTGCAGCCCCTTAGCTCTAACGAGTCCATCGCCTCGTCCGCACGGTCTCTAACACTCTGTCTCTGCAGGGCTTCGGCGCGGGGAACTTCAAGTCACTCTTTGAAGCTATAGAGGCTGACCAGGATGCCAGGGGAAACCTGACTGTCCTGAATCCCAACGGGGAGACCAACATCCTCTAGAGCACGCGGCACTGGCAGGGATGCGGCCTCCATCCTTAGAAAGCCGATTAACAAACAAACCCAGGAAACGGCCCGTGTTTTGGTAAACAGCCCAGATTGAAGTGTCAGAAACCCAGGAAAGTCACTGCCAAGCTGGAAATGCAGAAGGACTCAAACGGCTCCTGAGCCGGCCCCGACGCTGCCCTCTGGTGACTTCACGGCAGAGGGAAAGCAGGAAATGTCCGAGCTGCCGATTTAACCTGAGTTCTCAACGCAGGGCAGGCCTAAGGCTTCCGCCATGGGAGACACCTAGTTATGGCGGAAGACAGAAGGAACAACCAGGAGTGCTTCATTTTAGTATATCCAGTTTCCCATTAATCTTGTCTATATGGGAAGCTGTGATGGGAAAGCCGAGAGGGGAAGCATGATGGGGTTTGCCTCTCTGTGCATCTCGTGTTTTGTAAGATCCCTTGAAACTGCTTTTATATTCCATCCTGAGCTTGAATTTCCTGTGATTAAACACTTGGTTTTGGGTTAGTGACAACATTCCTGGAATGAGATTTGATTTAATTTATGTATTTCAGCCTTCCTTTCAACATACTGTAGCCTCGCTTTAATACCTATAAATTCCACAGCTGATGAGCGGTTGGGCTTTCTCCAATATTTCATTGAGACTTTTAGAAGTAATTGCTGGAATTTGCAGTGATTGCCTGGCTCCCATCCCGGCTGCACGGGAAAGCTCCCCCTGGGACACGACTCTGGGCGCTGTCCCGGGCCTTCCTGACCCAACAGAACCTGGTTCTGGGGCAGGTCGCGCCGGGAGGGTCCCGCTGGCAGCGCCGCCTTCCCCTGGGGCTGCGGGACACGGGTGGGAGCCGACGCTCCGGCAGCCTGAGCGGCTGCTGGTGCCGCTGAGGTGACTCCAGCCAGACCTAAGAGTATCTGCAGAGCCCGAATGTCCAACACTTGGGCACAGAGAAGGCCAAGAGAGACCCAAGGGTGTCCCCGAGAAGCCTGCAGCGCTCCTTGGTGACTGCAGGAGAGCTTGGGGGGCTGTGTGTGTACCCCGGGTCTTGCAGTGCTGCAGCTCTGTCCCCCACAGCCCCGTCCAGCACCGCTGCTCACCGCTGTCCCCGGGGAAGCTGCTCAAACCCGGCGCAGCCGAAGCCCTCGTGCCTGGACATGAGGTCAGGACAGGCCCCCCAGACCCAGTCCCACCAGCAGCCGGACACGGCAGGGCTGC